CAGCCATTCCTGGGATGGAAAGGTACAGGGGTGCCCTCAGTTCTTGCCTCTCAAGTTTTGTGCACTGCATGGTGGTCCTGCCAACCTCTCAGTGAGGATCTGAAGCAGCAGGAAGAGAACAGGATTATTTTAATCTTATTGTTACAGTTTCTCAGCAAGGAAGTTGGTAAGAAAGGCAGAACAGCGGTGGTTGCATTTTAAAGCTAAGAGTGATCCTGTGTTTTCCATGGAACTCAGGCTCCATGTGCTTCATGCAGCCCACTTTTTGTCATTTAAGTGAGATCCTACTGAAATGGTTTAGCTTTATTCTGTCTTTTTGCTCATCCATTCTGGACTTTGCCTTTTGTGTCGTTTTTGTGAATCAGATTTCACAAAATCATTGTGAATTACTACCAACAAAGCAAAGTCACGTGAAATTACTGGGCTTAAGTAATAGTAGTTCATATGTAGCAGACAGAGATGGTATAAGAGATTCTTTTATTCCCCTGTTTTAATTTTTTAAGTGCTAAAAAGGAAATACTTGCATTCTGAAGAGGAGAGGAACTTCTCTGAATTAATCCAGGCTGCTTCTCTTGCTCCTGTATGTTGTCAGCACCCTTTGCTTTGCACATGGTCTCACTTTTCCTCCCAGGGTAACGTGCAGGTGCAGTCCTTATTTTTTAATATTAATTATAATAATCCCAGAATGGTTTGGGTTGGAAGGGACCTTAAAGCTCATCCCATTCTTACCTCTGCCATGAACACTTTCCACTAGACCAGGTTGGGTTTCAGACCCATTTGATTTCATGAGGTGTCTAAATCCTTCTCCCTTTAGGCTTCTCTTCTTGTTTTCACCAATGTGAATTCCTTTGATAATTAACCATAACTCCCTGTTTTTTTCCTTTCAATAAATAACTGAAAGGTGCTCTGAGAGTGAGATGCCCTAGAGATGCAATCCTGATCCTGCAGGATTCAAGGGAACCAGGATTTCCCTCTGTAAGTTTAGTGTACTCCCTTAATGACTTAATCAGCAAGCAAAGAAAGGCAGAGAAAAACACGGTGGTACATGGAGTGCTTTATGTCCTTTAGATTATTTTCCATACATTCACTAATTACATAAACAGATGATATTTACAGGGAACTTCTGCCTGTAATTGACCTTCATCTCTTCCTGTGCACTTCCCAACCTCTCCTTGAATTTTCCTATTGTTTCCTCTTACTCATTCCACATTTAACACCATGTTTCAAGCAGTCCTTTTGTTTTGCTTGGGACCATCCTACCAATTCCCTATTCCCAATTCCTTCTAACTGCATCTCCTCAGCTTGATTTTGTGGGTAATTTCGGAACCCATGGCATGAGCAAACATCATTTCCAAAGACCAATCTTCAGGTTTCCCTCCAGTTCCAGCACAATTGCTCTTTCCCTATTACCTGATCATCAGTTCTCTGAAGCAAGAATATTTTTTTCTGTCTTTTATCTGTTGAAAGTTTTGTCTTTCAAAAGTTTCAGCAGCACAATCCACTTCTAGGGATATCTGCCTTATTTTTCTTCAAAATTTTTCTCTGTGTTGGGTCAAGCAGGGGAGGAATTACATAAACTGTGAGGGGTTAGAGAAAACCCCTGGTTAGAGTCCAGCAGTGTTCCCATGGCTACTGGGACAGGTACACCACAGAAGCAGGAATATCTTGGCATTTAACAGCCCTTCCAGGTGATTTATGGTTTTACATAAACTTTTCCTAAACTCAGAGGTTTTCTAGGGTTGGCACCTCTTTGCTTGTCTCCATGCCCTGTTAGTTCTGTGCTCAGTGGGCCATGGTTATTAAAATTCTTATCAATAAAGGAGTTTCTGAGCAAGGTTCTTATTTTCTAAACTCGTACATACCTTTGGAACTCCTCTGCTTAACCAAAGGAACATTTGTTTTTATGCCTAATGTACTTCATGAAAAGAAAGACATGTGTAGAGTTCAAGTAATATTTGCCTTCAATTACAGTAATTAAGTTGTCAGGACTTGAAGTCACCAAGGCAATGAGAAAATCCTTTCCTGGTTGGCCAGGGTGTTCTGAGCCCAAGTGTGTTTTACACATTGGGGTGGGGAGGGAAATGGTTCTGGCTGAAAACCTGGGAGTCTGTTTGTCCTTTTGCAATCCAGGGTGTCAAAATCCTGCTCTGGGGGGAAGGAAAATGACCTTGTTTGCCTGGGCTTCAGCAGGGCCAGGGAAGTGATTGTCCCTCTGTGCTGGCACTGCTGGGGCACCTCCAGTGCTGGGGACAGCTCTGGGACCCTCCCAACAAGATAGACCTGGGGCTGGAGCATGTCCAAGGGAGGGAACAGAGCTGGGGAAGGGGCTGGAGCACCAGGAGGGGCTGAGGGAGCTGGGAAAGGAGCTCAGCCTGGAGAAAAGGAGGCTCAGGGGGGACCTTGTGGCTCTGCACAGCTCCTGACAGGAGGGGACAGCTGGGGGGGGTCAGGCTCTGCTCCCAGGGAACAGGGACAGGATGAGAGGAAAGAGCCTCAAGTTGCACCAGGGGAGGCTCAGGTTGGACACAGGAGGAATTTCTTCATGGAAGGAGTTGTTAAACATTGGAAGGGGCTGCCCAGAGAGGTTTGGAGTCCCCATCCCTGGATGTGTGAAAGGAAGGCCTGTACATGGCACTCAGTGCTCTGGGCTGGGTGACAAGGATGGTCACAGGATGGACTTGATGGTGTTGGAGCTCTTTTCCAACCTAAATGATCCTGTGTTGACATGGGATTCTCTGTTGGGTTAGGTGTTACTAAAAACAGGTTTAATATAAATATAGCTCAACCCATTTGTCCTGGGAATTCTGTCTTGCTAAACTTCTGCTGCAGCTCCCCCTTCAAATGTAACCTGTGTGGAGACGTGTGTGGATACATCCTGTTTTTTCCCCATGTTCCACATCCCTTTTCAGGCTTCTTTGCCAGAAGTCAAATAGTTTCAGTTACTTCATAACCTTTCAGGAACACTATAACATATCCCTACAAGAAAAGTCCCTAATTTTGATAAGTGCCCACACAAATATCACTGGAATCTCAAGTGCAGCCTTACTTTCGTTCCACTGGAATAGCTCTCTTGAAAGCAGATGGATGAGGAAATCACCACTCGTAATGCATCACTAATGACACCAATTTTTGCATTCCTGCTCATGGGAGTAAAGGTTATGGATGCATAAGGAGCCAGATCTGGAAAACCTTACTCACAAACCCTAATAAACCCCGCTGCAGCCAGCAAGTTTAATGATGCCCTCAAGAGAGCCAGGTCCCTTATCTGCAGCATCACACAATAACTACAAAGTGTTGAGATAAGTGGGGTTTTATCTCCCAGCTCTCTGCTGGCCTTCCCCAAGTATCAGGTTATGGCAGTGAAAGTGGCTGTGAAATCTGACTGCTCTCATTTGGGCAGGCAGGATTCAGGATGTGTGGGCAGAGGGTAAGAGGGATGCTCTTACCCTCCATGCATTTATGAATGGAAAATCAGGGAATTATCTCTGACTGTAATCCCTGTGGATCCCCTTTCCTTCAGGAAGGAGTTGTAGGGCAGATGTTGGTGAGGATTCTACATGATCCTTCCCAGTTTTTCCCATCCAGAGGAGGTACCTGGTTCCCTGTGGTGTGTGCAAGGCTTTAAAAAAAAACAGTTAATGAGCTGAGGGAGCTGGGAAAGGGGCTCAGCCTGGAGAAAAGGAGGCTCAGGGGGGACCTTTTCACTCTCCACAACTCCCTGACAGGAGGGGACAGCCAGGGGAGTCAGGCTCTGCTCTCTGGGAACAGGGAGAGGATGAGAGGAAATGCCCTCAAATTGTGCCAGAGGAGGGTCAGGTTGGACATCAAGAGTGATTTGTTCATGGAAAGGGCAGTCAGGCATTGGAAGGGGCTGCCCCAGGGAGATTTGGAATCCCCACCCCTGGAGGTGTCCAGGGGGTGACTGGATGTGGCACTCAGTGCTCTGGGCTGGTGACAAGGTGGGGTCAGTCACAGGTTGGACTCTATAGCCTTGGAGCTCTTTTCCAACCTGAATGATTCTGTGATTCTGTGAAAATTTGGGACATTTCCAAGAGTCATTTGTGACTTTTGCCAAGCAAAAGGCTATACCACAAAGGCTTTGTTTTGAGTGCTTTGGTATGTATGTGAACAAGCCTTAATTTCAGCTGCCTTTCTGGTTTGTTTCTTTTGTAAATGTCAGATAATTTAACAAATTATACATTTCCATCTTGTGGCATTTGTTGCTTTCTCAGTCAATTCTCTTCATGCCATCCATAACATCCAGCTCCAGAGCTGTACTTTGTTTTTAGTTTGATATTTCTTAGTTTAATATTTCCTTTCTAGAAAGGAGACTCTTCACCTGCAGCTGGAGATGAGCAGCTCTTTATTTCATGTCTGCAGAAACCTTGTAAGATGTAACCTGGGATGTTGTTTGTGCCATCTGATAACGTGTGATCAAATGGAGCCTGTTTAAATAACAACATCTGGGACACCCTGACAGCAGAGCAGCTCTGAAACAAACATTTCCAAAGATCAGATAAGATGGAAGAGATGCCTCAATGCTGGATTGCTCCCTGGATTACAAGTTCTTTGCTGAAGAGTTATTCCAGGCATGGGATTTCCTTTGTGCCACAGGCTAATGGATTGCAGTGGATCATTTTTCATGCTGGTTTATGTCTTGCAGAGACAAGTGCTTTGTAAAGTCAGTGTAATGTACTAAGTATGGCAGTGGTAGACATGAGTTAGGTAGGAGTAGGTAAACTAAGGAACTCAAAACAACTGAAAATTGTCTTGGTTTGTGTTCTCTTGCTGCCTTCCCTCCTTCCACCTCTTTTCCCTAAACCTACAGCATCTTTCACATTAAGGGCTGCCTCACTTCCACCCAAATCTGTACTTTCACAGTTGATTTTCAAAGCTCAACATTGCTTTTCAGTATTTTCCTTATTAATGTGCAAAAAACGAGCATTGTGTTTAAAGCCATGACTCCTGACTCACTCCTGCTCCTGTCTGTTCCCTTGCAGGAGGATATTGCTGATCCTGACTCCCAGGAAGAGAAGGAGAGGAACAACTGGCTCTCCAGCCCTGGAGATGGTTCCAATACAGTGAAGAGTGCTCTCACTGTCCAGGAATATTTTGCCAAGCGCATGGCAAAGCTGAAGGGATCCCAGCAGGAAACAGAACCAAAGGTGGATCATTCCAGCCCAACAGCTGAAGAAGCTGTGGAGCCTTCAGAAGAGCTGGAAACCAAAGTCAAAAAGAAAAAGAAGAAGCAGAAAAGAGATGATGAGGCAGAAAGGACAGAGGACTGTGAGAAACCAGGGAAAAAGGCTAAGACAGGGAGCTTGAATGGAAAAGAACTGGATGATCCACTCAATGAATGTCACAAAAGGAAAAAAAAGAGGAAACATAAAGAGGAGAACGAAGAAGAAAATATCAGTTGTGATGAAAATATGGGCAATGGAGAAATTTCTGTGGGAATGTCTGAGGGGGAGGAACTCAGCACAGAGGAGCTGGAGGAAAAGCAGAAGAAACGCCACAAGAAGAAGCACAAAAAGCAAAAAGAGGAGACAGGGGAGTGTGGGGACGGAGCACCCAGAAAGAAAAAGAAGCACTGCAAGAACATTTAACCCTTTCAGGCTCAGGGGTGAGTCTGTGTTAGAGGAGGCTCTGTGTAAACACAGCACCAATCCAGGCTTGGACACTGCTCCAGCTCCAGTGGGGCAGACTGGATCTAAACACAGGTTGGATCTAAACACAGGCTAGATCTAAATTCAGACTCTATCTAAACCCAGCTCCCCCAAGGGAAAAGCTGGTGATGGGCCAACAGGAGCTTCAGTGCCACATTCAAAAGGGAACATCAAGACTGAAAGTCAGGGGATGACTTTCTGCTGCTTCACCTGACTGTGTGTTTCTCAATTCAGGAAAAAAGAAATTAAAAATTACCCTAGTACTGCCTTTTTATTAAAATTGTTTTCACTTGTGAAAGCCCAGTTCTGCTTCTGGAAGCAGGAGGGGGTTTGCAAAGCTGTTGGTGTTTTTTCATTGATTTTTGCAAAGTGGTGTCTAATTTTTACATTCATCTATTTTTACATATAAAGTGATTGTTGTTTCTTCCCAAAATGTTTACTCTGATTAAAAGTGTGCTCCTGAATGTCAGCAGCACTTAAAGGTGAAATAAAAAGACCTCCCTGTGCCTCCAAACCATTGTCAAACAGTTGTAACTTTGCACCAAAGCTAAAGGAAATGTGTATTTACCTTATCATTTATTAACCATACCTAAATCTTTGATTTCCAGGCACTACTCAGGATCTCTTCACTGGTACCTCTGGAATCCAGAAAGCTGCCTTGGATAGAGCAAGGTTTTTGCCTGAAATTGGGAAACCAATAGATTTTAAAAGCACAGTCAGATTGCTGTTGCCATTCACACATTGAAAACTTGCAATTTGGATTTATAACCAAACTAGAGCTTGCTTCTCATTGTAAGCCTGGAAATAAGGAATGCTAGAACTGGACACTGCCACGAGCAGTTTTGTGGGAGATCTGAAACATTCAGCATGAATTTTGGCATTTTAATGTCATTTAGAGCTGTCATGAGAGATGGGTGAGCTTGGAAGTGGTGGAATGGGATGAAGGATTCACTGTCCTGGTGTCCTGTTCTGATATTTCTTTGACCACAGCAAACTGACAGCACAACCCTGAACACCAGCCATTTACCCTGGCAGAATCCAGAACCCAAATCCATGAGCTGCTCATTTCATCCAAGCCTGGCTGGGTTTCATCAGTGTAAATCGAAAACATCCCATTGGCTGCTCTGCTGAGGAAAATGGGTACATTTTTATATTGTCTCAGCTCAGCAGAGTTGCTTAACTCGGTCTGAGGAACATTGTCAAGATGCAGATGTTAATTGGGAAAAAAATTTCCTTAAGCTGCCTTTATTGTGCAGTGGAGGAAGCTCCATCTGCAGCACCCAGACCACATGGATGGTTTGGTTGCAGCTCAACTCCTTTTTTTAAGATCTCTTGGTTTCCAAAGCACCTTTTTTTCCCCTGCCTTCAGGACATGCTCCTTCACTGCAGCAAAATAAGGTTTCACTTCTTGTACAGGAGAACGAGATCCCTGGATTTCATATGCCAGGGGTTTTAACCCTTGTTGCATCTCCTTTTCAGGCTGTACAATTATTATTCACCATAATCTGCTTGTCCCTGGCTTCCTTGAATGAAATACCACCAAATACCATCAGTTATTGTCAAGCTGGGAGGAAACTCCATGCTTGAGGTGAAAAAATCATCTCAGTGATAGAAGACAGCAAAATAATGTTTTATGTTAAACTGAAGCATCCCTCCTGATTTCTTGCTCACCACAAGTTGGAATTTTTGTTATTAGAATCCAAAAGCCTGATTGTTTCCAATTATTATTTTTTAACTCTTAAGCCAACTGAACTTTACAGCCTCTCTGGGATTTCAGTTTAAAAAGGTGCTAGTCAAGGAATAAGGTTTCCTTCTCCAAATACTGCTGGGCTTGTTTGTTTGTTCCCTCTGTGAATTTTCATGTGTTTCTGTGTGCTGATTCTTGTGGGTGCTTGGCCACATTCCAGTGTCAGTTACAGGAAGAATAAAACCAGGAATAAACCTTTACCTTTGTGCTGTTGCTCCTGTTAAACTCAGGATACCCAAGACTTAAATCTGGCTCAGATGGAAGTATCAGCTACCAATGGAAGATTCTCTATTTCTGCAATAAATACACAGCACTTTATCCTGGGAAATGTGGAATTTTAATGTGCCCCAAGCTCAGCATGTGGTTGTAGGAGGGGGAAATCATAATAAATAAATAATCATAAATCATAAATTGCTCGTATTTGACAGAAACAATTGATTTAACTGCTCTGCTCTGTGTTTGTGGTCAACATTACTCAGTGAAAAGCTCTTCTTACCAGATACTGTCCAGTGAAATGGATGATTGGAACAAGAGAAACATGTCTCAGAGTAATAAATTACATATATATTTTTTTGTTTGTTTGCTTCTAGTGGGTTTTGAGTTCTGTTTCAACCCAACTCTGGGTTTGGCAAGAAGGCCTTTTTTAGAAAGCACAAGAAAAAGAATTACGTCAGTGCCCAGATGGTGGAATTAGCAGAATGTGAGCACAAAAGAACGACTTGGTTTCATTTCCGCGAAAATCAGACTTTCAAACTCCGAGGCCTTTTGTTATAAATTCATCCATTGTGCTCACAGAATGAGGTGGCTCCCAGTGAAATTACCTGGACACCAAGGAAAATGAGACTCCCCGCTCTGCTGTCACTCCACAACGGGGAACGAGGCACTTCCAGCACAGATATTAAAATGTTTTCAGTTTTGGTAACCCCGGGGCAGCAAGGACTGAAGGAAATTTTCCTTTTTGCTTTGGGAACATTCCAACACTGGTTTCTCCTGAGCTCTTCCATTCTTTGCAAGGATAGGACTGTTCTTGGCTTTGAGACTCGGAATTCGCTGCGGGATCCACGGCCAAGGACGTGATTGGCAAGTGCAGTGTTAGAGCAGCAATAATGGAGGTTGAATTGTGCTTGTTAGCACCTGCAGGCACCAAACTACCCTGGGAAGTAGAGACCATGGAAAAATAGTCCTGGTACCATTGTCAGACCCAAATCTGTGTGAACTTCGTGGGCTTTTGGAGTTTTGTCTGACTGTGGAGCTTTCCTTGGAGCCAGAGATGGGAGGTGACACTGGATCACCTCAAGTGACAGCCCAGACGTGTGGTAAAGGCAGAATTCCTTGAATTTCCTCCCAAAATGTTCCAGCTCTGATGCTTCACACACAGCCAGTGTAAAGCAGAGGTAGAATTGTAGAATCCAGGAATCATTAAGGTTGGAAAACCCCTCTAAGACCATCAAGTCCAACCATTCCCTCAGCACTGCCAAGGCCACCACTGACCCATGTGCCCAAGTGCCCCTTGGTAACAACCAGGGTTTTTTAAAGCATAAGTGCAAGACACCATTCAAGATTTCAGAACCACCTCTGCTTCTGTTTAAGTGAATTTGAGTCCATTGGGATGCAGCTGCTTTGTGACTTGTGAATTGAAGGGGCTGGAGCATGTCCAGGGAAGGGAACAGAGCTGGGGAAGGGGCTGGAGCACCAGGAGGGGCTGAGGGAGCTGGGAAAGGGGCTCAGCCTGGAGAAAAGGAGGATTGGGGAGACCTTCTGGCTCTGCACAACTCCCTGACAGGAGGGGACAACTCCCAGGGAACAGGGACAGGATGAAAGGGAGCAGCCACCAATTGTGCCTGGAAAGGTTCAGGTTGGACATCAGGAGGAATTTCTCCTTGGGAAGGGTGGCCAGGCATTGGAAGGGGTTTCCAGGGCAGTGGAGGATTCCTCATTCCTGCAGGGATTTCAAAGCCATGTGGATGTGGCACTTGGGGACGTGGGGCAGAGGTGGCCTTGGCAGTGCTGGGGAATGGTTGGACTCGATGATCTCTGAGGGATTTTCCATCCTAAACCATTCTGTGGCTCTGTGGAGTGTTTGGGGACAGCTCAGCATCGTGTCCCTGGCTGCAGTTCTCCTTTCAGCTGCCCTGGTGCTCTCTGCCTCCAGCTCCTCAGCTCTCAGCAAGGACAATTAGCTGCATTCATCAGCGTAATTAACCAATTTTCTCCTGTTTAAACACACAAGACTGAAGTTGTTGCAGCTTCCACCTTCAAAAGGCACAAGTTACGTCACAAAACTCCAAACCTGCCAATAGTGAGGGAAGGAAGGAAGCTCCAAGAAGAGAGGGAAACCACACAAAATCTGTTGGAAACACTGCCCAGCATCACACCTGGCTGGAGAAAAAAAAGATCTGGGAATAGTGTATCCTGTTGGATATGGGGTGAGGATGGTGGGCATCCAAAGCCATCCTTTGCCTGATTCCCCCTCATTCCTGGGCAGGAACCCCCAGGAAAAATCTGAGATCAGAGAACTTGGTACAATAGCTAAAGCTTTTTTTTCTGTACCTGTTCCATCCAGGAATAAACAAATTTTGTCTTGGATCAGCAAAGTTTTAGTGATGTGGGACTAGGAAATGCAGTACAAATACATAATATGTGGTGGCAGAAGTGGGAATATTGTAAAACAAATTGAAGCTTCATTTCTCAGCAAGTCAAAATCTGCTTCTGAATCACGCAAATACATTTTTTTCTTATCTTAATCCATCTTCATAAATTTAAAGGTGTAAGAAAGAAACTCTTCCTAGTTCCTTTTAACCTAAAGGCACTAAAATATATATTTTTGTAACCTTTAAACTGCATTTTAAAAGTAGTAAGAGGAGAACTATTCAGCACAATGCTGAAAAATTTAGCATTTCAAGGGTTTGGGGGGGAGCTTTTCTGCTTTTTTTTTTTTTTTTGTAAATAAAAAAGCTTTGGGGGTTTTTTTACCTAAAAAATAAATGGTCCAGGTAGCAATCCCTGGGGAAAACCTGGTGGAATCAAGGAGGATGGGCAGTGGGCAGAGTTGGGAACTACAGCACTGAGGGAATCTTCTGCTGGGAACCCCCAGCTCTCTCTGCAAAAACTTCCTTTGGGAGCCAAGAGTTTCATCAATAATTAAGGAACATGTGAATATTGAGCTAATTTAGGATTTGCACTTTCTCACATATTTTAATGTCCCTGAAGGTTGGTGGGGTGCGAGATGGGGGGGAGAGGGTGAAAATAAACCCTCCCTTTGCAGGAGTAAAATTCCAGATGTCGGATCCACCCCCCCCCCCAAAAAAAAGAGGGATATTTTTAAAGAGGTGGTCGTTCCATATAGGGTTCAGGCACTCATTTTCTGCCTGGCCCATGGGAGTTGTTGCCACTGTTCCCCATCCGTGAAAATGGGGGAGAACAAAGCTTTCTTCCCCCCTTTGTCTGCTCCATCTATTTTCGCTCGCGGCTTTTCGCCGTAATTTCCCTGTTCCCAAAGCCCTGGGAGAGCTCTGCTGCTTCCTGTGCCCCAGATACAGGTGAAGCCTCACAGCAGAGCAGGGAAGGTGAGCACACACACCAAAAAAAAAAAAAAAAGGTAATCTCGAGGTTTTTCCAGACTAATTACCCCGATCCGGTGGTAATTAAGAGGTGGCATTTTCACATGGCCCCAGCCTCCTTTATGTAACGTGGGAGCTTCCGACAGGACAGGTTTGACCAGCATTTTAGGCAGGGTGCAGAATGAAACCCTCCTTACTAATGCCATC